ATAGAACTTTCTTCCGTTTACATCTTATCTATATATATATTAAAGCAGAACAGCTGGAATTTTCCCGCTCAAACCTATTGCATTAATTACTGTATTAATGGTAAGATAATTTACTTTCACATTATTTGAGATATTGTCTTAACATTTATTGTATTGTAGTTTAATTAACTTTAATCTTTATATATTAATTGCAATTTTAGGAAATTGTGAATGCACATTAAAACAATATATGCAAAAAAAAGTTTGTTACAAATAAATGTTTAAATGTTATTCTTAATTATGCATTGGAAAAGTGCACTTCAATTTTCATTGATAAATAATTGGCTTCAACTATATCTATTAAGTACTCCCTCCTATTTTTTTTTTTAAATGTCACTAGTACGCCACCCGCGCGTTGCGCGGCCTAATATTAAAACATGACGTGAAATGAATTATTATTTAAATAAATAAACAATATTAAGAAAATATGTAGAGAGATAATAAAAAGTAAAATGAAAATTTTATTCATTATATTTTCAAATGTTTTTCTAAATATAACATTATTAGTGGATGAATTGTATTTATTATTACCATTATAATCATAAAATAATAATCATCAGACAATAGAGGTATATGACTATAAAACAATAACATATAATGGATGTGATTATAAAATACAATATGTTTTGTAATAAATAGTTTCAAATTAAATAAATTCAACTTAAAAAACATTTGTGGTATTCAATGTCTTTGTCACATTAACACTCCTTGAAATTTTGGCCTAAAATATTTTCATAATGACATAATTTTTTCATTAATAACTAAAGATATTATTAATACTATATATAATAATTGAAATAAACATGTACAAAATATGAGTCAATTAAAATTAAAAATATAAGTTAAATACTTAAGAAAAAAAAATACAAAAATGGCTCAATTTTGAACCGCGCATGCGTTTACCTTAAAATTAGGTCCACATATCTTTCACTTTTTATAATATGCCAAATACATTTAAACTTCGTTTATTTGCAAAAGAAGTCCGATGGTGCTCAGAATGATGTGCAAGATCGATCACCTTATGTAAAGTTACAAATATGCACAATAATCGTTAATGCTCATGTCAATAACTAATTACTTATTTTTTTCCACATAACTCATGCGGAATGTAAGTTAATATACTTTCGTCAAATGATAAGAAAATTACATTTAAAT